TTTGATAATGTCCACCGCAGTTGTGGACGAAACGTCAGGAAGAAATTCCCATGGACCACGGCTTCAAAGCCCGGAAAACATTTCTAAATGTGAAACAGTTTTTGTTACGTTTTCCTCAAACACTCCTCTGTCAAAATGTAGCTACGATAATGCGTTGTTTTTGACAAAAATAAATAGAAAAACAGTTCCGGAACGGTTAATTTACTGAGAAGTCTCCTCAATATTTTTCCATTTTTATGATGCTCGGGATATCCAAATTTTGCCTCATCAGATTTGGCGTTAAAAAAGTCGAGATTCAAAGTTGGACAATTTTATAGTAAAAACGTTTGTTCTATTAGTCCAGAATGTGGGGAATTGTTTTAAATTTCTGCAAATCTTTGATTTTTTTTTTAATTGGAAAGCTACCATTGAAATGTATTTGGTCACATTTTCTTCAAAAAACTCTGGGTTAAACGATGCTCAAGCTAAAGCATTGGCTTTTACAACGTTAAATATAGAAATAGTTGTCTTTTTCATCAGGCAAAAGTTAATTTACTCCTACTAAGTTTCCTCTTTATTCGACGATTTTTTTAAACAAACATTTTCGGGTTCAAATCCAAATTGAACGTTAATATTACGTTAATAAAATGAGTGTTTATTTACTTCAAATCTTTAATAATTGTTAACAATTTTTATATTTAAAGATTTCTATATTGAAATGTATTTTGCCACATTTTCCTGAAAACCTTCTCCCATCAACTAACTGCCAACATTGGCTTAAAAGCATTAAATGAAGAATTATTTCTTCTGTTCAACCTGCAGAGTTCAGTTAGCGTCGTAATTTTTTGCCATTTTTTCCGTGTTCGGGTTTAAAACCCAATTTTGCCTTATCACAAACTTGTTTTCAAAAAATTAGGCAGCAAAAGTTGAGAGCAACTAAAATTTTTTAGATCATTTTCTAGGGAAAATCGTGCTTTATTCATCCTGAGAGTATCAATTTATTTGCGATCTTTGGGAATGGTTGACAATTTTTCATATTTTAAAGTTGCTATTGAATAGCATTTGCTCTGACAGCATTGAACAGAGAAATAGTTGTTATTTTCATCCTGGAACGGTTAATTTACACACAATTACACAGATTTGGCGTTCTGTTTTTCAAATAATCGATTTTTACAGCATTTTATACAGAAAAACTTTCTGTATGAATGATTAAAGTGTCGGTTTACCTTAGTTCTTATCGAGTTTTGTCATTTTTGCAGGCGGCAATAAAAATTGCTTTTGTTACGCTTTCTTGAAAAATGTCCCGGTTAAGATGCTGCATAGTTAGAGCGTTGCTTTGCCAATATTAAAGAGAGAAATATTTGATCTTTTCATGCTGCAACAGTAAATTTAGTTAAGGGTTTCCTCAAATTTGTGCATTTTTTCAGCTTTCCGGTTTTAATCCCAAATTTGGGAACTTGTTTGAACCAAAAAAGTACACAAAACAAAAACACCTAATTTGCTCATAATCTTCCTCCTAATATTTTTAATTTTTTTTACAAACCAGTCAGCGAATTTTCAATTTCATAAAACACCGAAAAAACTTCAAAAACATTGCTTGAAAATCGACCGGAAAACAAGTTCTTTATTGTAGAAAATCACACAAGCCAAATTAACAAAAGTGGACCCTCGAAAGGACCATCGAGCTTTTGCCTTTCCTGAAAACTTCCGGACACGCCAGTTAAAGCTTTCGTCGTCCCAATTAAACCCCGAGTTTCTTTGGCAGTTTCTTAGGCTATAGTTTCACAAAATGGAACACACGTGCATTCTTCTTTTGGTCTAGTTTTGCTCGAAGTAGCAATAAATCATCATTAAGTAATTCAAAATCAGAGACTCTGACACGAAGTTTAGTAGCGTATTGATGGCGAACAAACTTTCATCTGGAGGGAGTAATTAGAGAAAAAAACTCTGAAAAATCTCAGGAGTTTTTCAGATTTTTGGGGCGAAATCAT